AAAGAATTTCGGCAAACAATCCCGAAATATATAGTTTGCTGCATTCTGGATCATATTTCAGGAAAGGAGAGGAAAAAAGAAAACGTTTTGGAAAACTATGAAAAAAAAAGGAAAACAAAATTTATTTCATGAAGTTTTTTTTTTCTAGAATATTAAAAATTTCTTTGCTTTCTTATTCATTATCATCTGATGGTTATAGTATGAATATAGCTTGAATGTTATGTTTAAAAAAAAAAAGCATAAATATTTTATAATTCTAAATATTCATAGCATAAATAGCTATCAATTTTACTAAGTAATTAGCGATTAATGTCACCAAGTATTAGCAGTATTAGGATTGAAAATAAGCCATACTGGAAATTTGCATAAATCAAATTAATTGCTATATTTCGATATGCTTTTAGATGGAATTATATTTTTGATGATGGGAAAATGAAAGTTTTGGATAAATTCTAAGAATTGAAATCGTGAGTAAAATTTAGTTTTCCAAACAATTTTTCTTTACCAACAAATAATTGACGAATGAGCTCGGGGAAAAAAAAGAAAGTGTTTGAAAAGAGCACTTGGGAATTACCACATAATACATTTAAGAAGAATTGAAATATTCGGATTTGATAATAATATTTCAATTCTCATTTTGATCATGTTTGTTACCATTTTGACCTTGTTAAATGCCATAAATTAAGTTAAACCAGTAATCTTTCTTCATTCATTTATTTATTTTCATTTATCCATTTCAAGTAATCTCGAAGTTAAAATTATTCTCCAAAATTCATTTATAAATGAATATGAAAGAAGTTAACCAAAATAAATTATATAATTTAATTAAAATCTATTTACAAATTGCAAATCATTATTAAAATAAAAAGCATCTAAATGATGCTATCATATTTTAATGTAAAATTTATTTTAAACTTTTTCCTTGTAATTTCTCAATAAAATTTTATGCAACTATGGTTATCATAATGTTCGCCATTAGACAACTACAAATATCAATTATTTTGATTTTGGATTTCTGAATTCAGGATATATTATATGGTAAAAGAAAAAAATTCTATTCACTATTAATTTTTGCTAATTGAACATACAGTTCTTATATACCCGGTAATAAATAAATTTGTTTAATTACTTTTATAATTCAAATTTTTAGCTGCACATCGAAACAATAATTGTCACTAAAAATAATTAATTGGAGACACTTTTTTTTTTCTTATATGAAAACGAAAAAACAAAAAAAAAGGAAAGAATGCTGATATACGAATATCAATTCGATATTTCAATGCGAAAAATACTAATTATACATTTTTACAATTGACAACTCATTTTGCTTTTTTTTTGCATCTAAAATTTACATTCAAATTATTTATTCATTTGTTTTAGTCATAGCTTGTTTATTCAATTTACTAAGTGCATGAATTCATTTATTTTCAAATTATATCATGTCCTATTTCCAATATTAATTTAAGTTTGTCGAAGATAACTAAAATAACATAGATCGACCTGTGTTAATTTTGTTACAAATATTTGTCACATTTTAAAAGCTTTACAATGATGTATTGACAATGGTAACAACAACAAAAAGTCTAATTTATTCAACTTCCTTGTTTCGAAACTTTTTTTCGTTGTCATTTAGTATTGACGCAATAATGGTCTTTTTGAAATTGAAAATATTTAATAAAACAAAGCATATTATTATCATTAAAAGGTCGGAAATGTTTGAAATATTTTTAAACTAATAATTTTAAATGAATAATAATTATGCAAATAACCTAATAATAAATTCAAACTCAAGCAGTATTTGTGTAATCAACTTGATAATCAATTCAAACTTGAATGATAATTATGCGATCATCTTTATAATAAATTCGAAGTTAAGCGATCAAAAAAACAAAATACTGGTTGAGAGCTTTTTACAGTCTTCATTAATTTATTACTTTTGTTTAAAAAACATTAAACCGAAAGAAAATAATAATAGTCTTTAAAAAATGAAAAACAATAATAATAATACATATAATAATAATAATAATAATAATAATAATAATAATAATAATAATAATAATAATAATAATAATAAT